GGCAAATTTAGCAGTAGTTATGCCAAATGTGCATTCAATGCACATTCTAGCACTACTTAATTTATAATTATAATATTTTTCTTCTGGGCTGGTATTCTTCGTAGAATAAGGTTTCATTAGATAATTTTTTACTCCTTGATAATCCAAGATAGTGAAAGAATTGCGAATCATTTAAATTGATATAGTTCATATACAGATCTCTTTCTTTATAAATTATACTTTTCGTTTTTTTTAATAATCTCTCATAATAAAATATCTAGTTATAAGATCCATTTTTAAAAAATATACTGTAAAATATAAATCGTTGCTGTTTGGAAGTAAAAAATATTGCAAAAAACGTGCCTCGGAAAGCGTTTTGAAAAAACGTCGTGTTTGGAAGTGGCCTGACTAGTAATTTCAATTCCTCACTCAAATATGAGAACCACGAAAATTAAAACTATGAGGTCACGCTCTAAGCTTGAAGCGAGCTACTTTTGGAAACTTGACATACTCCTTTAAATAGAACTTTATTTGTATATTTTATTGGTTTATTCTCTTTGGTAGTTGGTATAAAGAGGAATAGAATTATTTATAAAAATAAAAAATTGTCAAAAATGCCTTAACGGAGAATATAAAAGTTCTAACCAGGGATTCGAACACGAACCCGGAGAAGTGAACCCGGGTTTTTAGAAAAAAACTCTAAACCCCAACCGAACCTGAACCCCATTTATAAAATTTTCAAAACCCCGAACCGAACCCAAGAATTTTATTTGAACCCGGGTTCAGTGTATTATTTAAAATCATATATTAATATATGTAAATACAAATATTATATTTTCAAATTTCCAATTAAATGAAGTGTTAATAAATTTTAAACAACTTAATTCATTTATGCCATTTTTAAATTTATTCTCGATTGCTAGAGTGTTAAAAAATTTTAAACAATTGAATTAATTTACGCCATTTATTTTTAAATTTTTATCTTATTATTCTTAAAGATTATTAATTAGAAGAAAATGGTTAACAAATCAAAGTAAAAATTATTATATTGTTAATTTAAAAAATTCTAAACATCTAACTTAAAAATTCTAAACATCTAACTTAAAAATTGTTAAATGTAGGGCAGTTTTTGTGAACTTATTAAAATTATTTTAAAATTTATATATGCTAATCATTTATTTTTGGTTCAGATTAATTTTTACAAGATATTAATGAAGTGCATATTATAAATGAAATTAAATTTATCAATATCTCTTTTTTAATTCTGAAATCATTGCTATTTAAAAAAATTGTTCTTCTTTATATAGATTTAAGATTAAAGATAAAGTCATATTTGATAAGCATTTTACCCTTAATACAATAGAAAAAAAATCAATATGTTCATATTGCAAAGTAAAAATGTCTGGTAATCACTTGTCAAATTTAGAAAGACACCTGGAAAGAAATCACAACAATGAATATTTAAATTATTTAAATGAAAAAACCAAATATCAGGAATTGTTATTGGCAAAAAAACCTAAAATTAATATAGAAACCTTTTTCCCAAAAAAGCATATAAGTATAAATATATCATCTAATGATTTAATGAGTTCTATACTAGAACTTGTTGCTGTAAATGGCCGGCCTTTTTCAATTATTAGAGATTCGGGATTTCAAAGAATTATAAATCCACTCCTATCTGGGCTCAATTTAGTTATAAACAAAGAAAATTTATCCAGAACTATTAATAAAACAGTCCAATCAATTAGAGACAAAATATCGAGAGAGGTAGAAGGAAAATTAATAAGTTTAAAAGTTGATGCAGTTCAACGACTAGATAGGTCAATTCTTGGTGTAAATATTCAATTTATATCAAAGTCCATTATAAATTTGAGGACTCTTGGAATTGTAGAGCTGAAAGAGAGATGTACAGGAGAATATATAAAAGAGAATATATTAAAAACTTTACTAAAATTTAAAATTAATATTGAACAAATATACACAATTACTTCTGATAATGGTTGTAATTTTTTAAGAGCTATAAAGCTCCTGCAACCTGAAACTGATTATGATATAAGGAGTGAATCAGCAGATGAGGAAAATATGGATGTAAATGTATATAAATATGATATTGATGATATACAAAATACTTTTTTATCAACTTTTATATCCTATCCGATTTATAGTGTACGGTGTGCAGCTCACACACTTCAGCTGGCACTTCAAGATGCTATAAAATTATCACCTATTGTGGAAACCATTGCAAAAGCTAGGAGCCTAAATTTAAAATTAAGACATCCCACTTACCAAAAGTTATTAAAAAATATGAAACTCCCTAAGCCTGTGTTAGATTGCCACAGATGGTATTCAACCCATGATATGTTAGAAAGGCTGATTTTACTAAAACCCAATATCGAAGATTTTTTTTCAGAGCAATCTGATTATTTATTGACTGAAGATTGGAAAGAGATAATAACGATTGTTGAAATTTTAAAACCGCTAAAAATTGCAACCAAACAATTCCAATCTGAACAGTTAACACTGACAGATTTTTATGCAGCATGGTTAAGATGCTGCATCGAACTGGAAAAAAATCTAAACCATTTTGCTCAATTACTATATTCTTGTCTTAAGAACAGAGAAGAAAGGTTTATAAAGAACGAAATTCTCTTAGCTGCCATATACCTGGACCCAAGATACAAGGTTAATTAAAAGCTTAGTAAATTAATTGTTTTAGATTTATATTAAAATTGTTATTTTATGAAATATTTAAATATAAAAAATATAAATCCTTAAATATTACAGGTATTACTTAGTGATGATGATAAGATTTGTGCGAAAAGGCATCTTGTCAATTTATGGAGACGAATTAAAAGCTTAACAACGCCGATTTTATCTGATGATATTAGTTCCGATGAAGTTATTGAACAAGAAGATGATTTAGAGAAATTGATACAACTTAAAGAAAGGCAGGAGAAAATACTTAAAAGAGGGCCAACGATTGCTGAGAAAAGTATTGGAACAATAATTACTGGATTTAGCGATTATAAAAGATTAGATAAGAAGGAAAATATTTTGCATTTTTGGGAGTCTGCTAAGCTGGAACACCCTGAATTATATATTTTATCTAAAATCATATTTGCTGTTCCTGCAACTCAAGTTAATTTATCATATTTTCACATATAAATACATTTAATATAGGTTAGCGTTGAAAGATCTTTTTCACATTTGAAATTCATTCTTTCACCACATAGATTGAGGATGAGTGAACAACTCTTGGAAGATATTATGCTAATACGTCTAAATAAAATTTTTAAAATTGATACATGACTATATGCTTTGTATTTTTAACTATATTTGCCTATAAATAAAATAAAAAATTTATTTTTTATATCAAATTTATGTCTAGTTTTTTATTATGATTTAAATATAGAATTTTTTTTATCAACTCAAAAATTCTTGAACCGAACCCGAACCGAACCCACCTTTTTTTTATACCCCGAACCGAACCCGGGCAAAAATTTTGTCGGGTTCGCATCCCTGGTTCTAACTATCTGGTTGCATTAATATTTAGTTCCTTATAAATTTTTAATCAATTTCGCCAGCCATTATAAAAGTAACCAAATTATAAACCAAAAACTAACTATGATATCACTTCTTAAGCCTAAAGTTAGCCAAACCACTGGAAGCATTTTCTCGGAAAATGTTAATAATTAGTGTGTATATCATACTTCTTTACTGCTTCAACCCTTTTGGTAGATAGTTTGAAAAACATTTTTGGTAAAATAAAAAAAAAATTTTAAATTGGCATCATGCTAGAAGGAAAATTTAAGAAGTAATGAACAATGTAATGCATGATTAGTACTTACTAGTTCATCGATCAGTTTTTTTTCAGCCAATAAATAATAACCAGTATAAGCGATATAAAAATTACGGCAAGTCTTAAGCTTATTAATATCACATTTTAAATTATCATAAATCTCTTTGGTCTGAATACATTATGTTCTCTTCCCCGATTCAAGATATTTTTGAATCATATGATTCTATATGATCTTCATATGTGTTATTTTTATTTACAGTTTGTTTAATAAATAATATAGAAAGATTTTTAAATTTCATTAAACAAAATAGAGCGAAGATGCTGGAAGCACAAAAGCAATAAAAAATATTAAATAAACGAAATATCTAAAATAAATTATACTATTATTGTTATATAAAAAATGCTATCATCTTTTAAATATGAGATTTGATGTGGTTGTATATTCAATAGCGACATAAAAAAAGTAATCAAATGGACATGAGGCATATCTGTGCTTAACATTAATAGGATTAAATTAATGATTGTTTCTTCATAATAAAATTGACAAAGTAATTTTTTAAAAAAAGTATTACATACCAGACAAGTTTATTGCAAGATAATTTAAAATTTATTTAAAAAATAATCAAATACTATCGATCAAAATTATTATTTATAAATTAAAAACATAGAAATAGTTTTTAAATTTTAAGCATTTATTTTATCAATTGATAAAATGAAATTCATGTGGGGGGAGGGGAGGCATGCCTACGCCAATGCCTCTTATACTTCTCGAGATTATAATTATACACCTGGATTCAGGACGATGATCCAATAGTTTTTAATAAATGAATATCTTGGTAAGGAATCCAAAAGTATAAAAAGCACGCGATTAATTGGAAACACAAATGGCCACATGTTTTCTTCTCATGTATTTTAAAAGAAACAAAAAATAGACCTAGAAAAACTATTCATAATATAATATAAGGAAAATAATCCTAAGGGCGTAGATAAATATACTAATACTATTTAACAAAAGTTATATAATGGAATAATTACAACTAAAATTTTCTAAACTTAATAATTACTTTAACATAAATTATTCTTTAAAATGCAAGATAACTGTGTTCTGCATTTAAAATATAACCCACGAAAAAGAATAACGTAATTATATGTAATATTAAATTGCACCTTGTTATCGAACTTCATTTTAATCATTAAATGTTTATATTTAACAATGTTAAAGCTCGCTGAATTTACCTCATGGAATGAACCCTTGTTTATTCTTTCCTTTTTATTATCCTGTTTCATGGGATTTATTCTAAATTATTCCGTCGTTTTATGTACGCATTATAATTCTGCCCTGACTACTACAATAATCGGTTGTCTGAAGGTATATAATTTTTTTTTAATCGCTTAAAAACATTTTTAATTTTTTGGAAAGTTTTATAATTAGGGCTACTTTTGAGAATTTAAAATATTTTCGGTTAATCCTTCTATATAATGTGTCAGGAATTTATTGATCAATTGAATCATGGAAAATAAAATATAAGGCTTCTTAAGCGATATATCATCATTTATTTAGGCAGATGTCCATGCCTGAAGATATATAATATTTTTTTAAATCATTTTCATTTTTAATTTTTTGGAAAGTTTTAAAATTAAGGACTACCCTTGAGAATTTATATTTTCGGTTAATCCTTCTATATAACGTGTCAGGAATTTATTGATCGATTGAATCATGAAGAATAAGTTAATATAAGGCTTCTTAAACGACGTAAATCATCATTTATCCGGCGACATCCTCTATTGCTTAATACCTTTACTAGACAACGTGATAGTTCCTTATTTTTCTTTGTTAGGGTGTGTCTAAAATATCAAAAAATTAAATTCACAAACTTTCAAAACTTTAATGAAAATAAATAAATAAGTTATTTTAAATGTAAAAAATATAAACATGTTCAATGCATAATTATAGAAAATTTCATGCGATTTCATTAAAATTTGCAAAAGTTTTAAATTTTTTATTTAAAAAAGATAGAAAAAATTGGACATAGCTTTATATGAAATAGATATTATAAATATTTTTAAATACAAAATTGATAAATTCTTGAATTAATTTATAATTATCCTTTCTCATTAATAATAACATTTTCCTAGCTTATATTTCTAGTAGACATGCCTTCAATCACATATGTCAAGATGTCGGATTTAGTGCGTACCTATATTATCTTTATCATTATTTTATTACTAAGTGACCAGATCATATTTTGATTTTGACAAAAGGGTAAGAGGCTTCTCAGATTGATTTTAAACAAATTTTTTTTGATATGAAATATGTTTATATTACTCTTTTTAATTATCGATATAGAATATGATAGTGACTTATTCCGGTATGATGATTGGAGGTGATTACATATTTTCCTGGCCAAATTTCGTTGGATTGAATATAAGGTTTGAAAAATAAAATATATAATACACATGTATGAACGGCTCGCTTTCTGACAGCCCTTCGAAAGGATTTCTGTCTTCATGACAGCATGCTCGCCATCACTATCCTCAAAGTGAACTATATTAGATTTAACGGCAGTCTTTTCCCTAAGCTTCTTGACTTTCTGCTTTATTTTTCCTTATTCTTTTTATGCTATATTTTAGATTTTTAAAAAATAAGGATTATAAATTGAAAATATTCACATTTAGATCATTACCCCTACTACTTATATTTAAAACTGGATTCATAGTGAGATCCAATTTAACAGCTCATCTTTGATTTTTCTTTATTAATATTTATTTTATTTTTAATTCTATCATGATAATAATATAAGAATTATTGATTTTAATAATCAAAAATTGATCTCATTAAAAGATTTTAAAAATCGCTCAGCTGTTAAATTTTGTCGGATCGGATCCCACTATGAATGCCACCTAATACTAACTAGTAAAGGTCACGGTCGAGTCTTTCTTATTTACAACGGGTTGATTACGGTTCAGTATATAAAAATTTATAATGATTACGGCTATTAAGAAGAAAAAAAATAAAAGCTTAGATCACTAATTATAAAGGTTCATTGCGGTTCTAAAAAATAAAAAAGTATCACAATTCATTTCTAAATACATTATTTGAACATATATACAATAAATTTTCTAAATTAACTGGATTCATGTATTTTCACTGCGATGATGACACAAATTTTAATCCCGAAAAAGGTCCTTTCAACAGAAACTTGTGTTATGGGAACTGCAAGTTTGTATATTTCTGGACATTCAAATTCCAATAATTATTTTTTTCTCGGTTTTTTTAACACTTTAAAATGAATCAATAATGTTTCAAATTAGTGTTGTTAATCAGCTCGATTTGAGCCGATTTAAAAACAGCTAACTTAATATTTTAGCCAGGAAAATATGGCCTAAGCCTCTAGATTTTGTTAATAGATGCTCAGACCTTTGTGTCATCTATGAGCTAGTTCTTAAGGCTTTTATAATATATTTCTGAATAAAATATTGAGTTAGTCTTTTTTAAGAATCGGCTCAAAACGAGCCGTTTAACAACACTATTTCCAATTTTATATTTGTTTCTTATATATATTTGAAGTAGGTTTTTTTAGATTCTGATTTTTTTATAATTCATCACCTGAATTATATTCTTCGGGAGGGCTATGGTTAGATTGTACTAATGCTATCTTTAAGCATTGATTTTCCCAGGCCCATACATTTAAGTAAAAAATATCTATTAAAATAAATCTAGACAATAATAAAAATATAGTTAAATAATTTAAAGATGTTGACCTGAAGTGATTTCCATCTTTGATTTGAATGCCTTTGGCTGTAGATTTTTAACCCTCTGTTAGCAATATCAGATATCGTGAGTTCATGTATAATTCTGAACAAACTGCATCATTTTAAATATTAGCCTTTGCTTTGATATAGGTTTGGTGTGAAAAGGGTATTTGAACCTTTTGTATTTTTATTACGACAATTTAGTAATGCTGCATAAAAATCCCTCATTGCTAATTGTTAAGTTTGAAGAATTTTTGTTGAATAGACGGTTTCAATGCTTTTAATATATCTTTAATAATTTTATATTTATCTTCACATAGATCCGTACTCTCCGAGGTGACCACGCTATTCCGTTAATATTCAATTTCATCACAATATTTTAATTCCACCAATTTTTCTAGCATGAGATAGATACAATATTAATTTAGTATAGCAATCAATAACACACATTTATTTGGCCATTAATGATTGTGTCAAAACATCACCAGAATTGATAATTAATAAAGCATCACTACTCAAAAAAATCGTTATCATATTTCATTAAATATTCTACTAATACGCCTAAATCTTAAAAAACTTCTTTTTGATTGCAATACCAGATGGGATTTGATTCTTTTTTATTATTTATTTTTATAATTCAGAATATATTAGATGGCAAAAATTATATTAAATAATATTTATAATTAGCTGTTCAGGCTCCTGGTCTTTGGTCTGGACCGGTTGTTAAAAACTTTTCAATAATTGTTGGTACTTGCTATATGCTGTTTTATTATGTAGCCATTTAATAAGTTAATTAAAATATTTATGATAAGATCATTCGGAATGGCTACTAAGTTAGACCGAACCCTACCTTAATTAATATGACCTAGACTATATTGCATTAAAGGTATGCATATATTAGTCCCCCATCAGTTAGTGACATTTATTAGAGTACAGAGACTTCACTATATACCCACTTTTAATAAATGTATCATGAGTTTAGGTTAGTTGTCATTGTCCTATTACTCCCTGTTTTTTTATGAAAATAAATTAGTATATTGGGAAGTTTGTTCTATTCGTACCTCACGTTTTTCCAAAAGTTAAACAAAGAAAAAATAATCGATTATACGCTAATCAAAAAAAATATCGCCGACGCATGAACACAATATTTATTATTTAACCCTCGACATTAAATCAGTGCTATAATATTTTTAAAAATATATAATTATTATAATATATTTATATAACTTTCTATTCATTAAGACATCCTAATTATTTAAGTTGAGTCACACACAAAAAAAACCTAAAGAGAATTTTTAATTATTTTTCCTTTTTTTAATTATCGTATAAAACTTTCCTCTTATTTATTTAAGAAAAACACATTATATGTTATTTAAAAAAGAATAAATATTATTCTACGATTATTATATCATACAATTGTGATAATTATTTTTATATTGATAAAAATATACATAAATCTGTACTATTATATATTTATCTTCCTTTTTTGAAAAATCATTGTAAACTAATGTACATATGATAAATAAATACTCTCATTTATGTTTTATTCATGCATTAATATAATACAGAGATACTCTCACTATATCGGTCATATATTCATTATGTCCGGTACTTAAAAATGATAATTTGCCTTAATAAAGCCCCTGTTATACTGTATAAAAAAAATTTCATCAACTAATTTATAATCCGATAAAAAAATGTAAGAAAAATAATATGCACTTTTAATTTAATTTTTATAAATTAAAAAATAGTGATATTATTGATGAATTACTTCTTTCCTTTTTAATATAATATTTTGATATCGGTATTACCAAAAATACGTCAAGACTAGTTATACAATCGATTTGTAATCGCTTTGGTTACTATGATATTTTAACTTGCCATTGATTTTTCTAAACGGTGTAGCAAAAACAGCAGTTCATTTGGTAATAATAGTTATAGGGTTAATCTTAAAGGAACTTGTAGCCAATTTGCATAACGTATTATTAACATTATTAATAAGGGACAATGAAATTTATTTTTTGGAAGATATAAATAACTTGTTGATAGAATTAATAGGGCATAATAAGATTAATTGCCCACTACTAGAAATTTTAATGCAATCACGAGAGCACCGACTCCTGGAAATATAAAGGAGGTTCTAATTTTTTTATGCTTATTTAATGTTTACCATATATATCGAAAAAATTTCAACAATAACAACCCTTCTTAAAATACTACATAGGAAATATAATAAGAAGAAAATATAATAAAACAGGCACCTATATTGTTTCAATTTAATCCAAAATCTTCTTTTTATAGACTCATTTTGTTTATACGAAATGAAAAATCTATAGTTTCATCATGTTTATTTCAATTTTCATATATCACTTAAGTATTAATAGTATAAAGTTGTTTTTTTAATTCCTATATTTTATTGATTATATTTATATAGAAAGGAGCTTGAACATGTCGTCCCTTTGCTTTTATTCTATAAAATTAGATTCAAAGAAATGACCACTTCTTTTTTATGAAAAATATTTATTTTTTTATATGCTGGAAAAAGAAATATAAGATTTCAATATTGAAACTATTCAATAAAAAAGTCGTGTGCATTCATTCAATCTTCATTATCATTCTATTTTTATATAAATATTTCTTTATCATTTTTGGAAAAATGTTTCACTTTAATATAGGTATAATGTAACCATTTTCTTCGACAAATATTACACATATCAAGAATTATAACCAAAAAAATAAATGCAATCTGGCATAGGCCTGGCCAGGGGGAGGGCAATGGGAATTCATCCCCTATCGGAAATTTTCCTGTTTTCATATATACCATTTAAGTCAGTAAAATGTTCCCCCCTACACCCACTCTTCCCCCAACCCCTTACAAATGCATGCAATATATTACTATAAAGTAGAATTTTAAAAATAACGACTATTATTCAAAATTTTTAGAATAATAACGTTTTTATAAGAAATATTTAAGGCCAAAATAATTTTATGAAAATCTAATATAGGCAACAAGATCTATAATAAGTGGATCTATAGACCTCCAATTAAATTTATGAGGAAAACCCACTTAATAATGGCCTCACCATCTTAGCGAAATTACACCTCTGAAATCTGATATTTATAATATTCTTAGTTAAATTTATTAAAGGCAGACGATTTAAGATCATGATATCAACTATATTAATATATATTTTTTGAAATGTACTTCAAGTAAAAACCTCTAATAACACTAACCTACTTTCCTATCTCACAAACCTTCATACCCAAAAAAGGTCTAACCTCAATATCTACGAACCTTAATTATTATCACTAATAAGTCTTCAAAAAACAAAATATTTTAACCTTTATAAAATAAATTCAGTCATTGTCAAATATTTTCGATAAGACTTTTTATCATGATCATCCCTAAATGTTAAATAATAGAGATTATACCTTTCGGCGTAAATTTTTTATTAACATTTTTATTTATATCATTTTAACGTAACATTTTTTTTTAATATCAATTTGTATTGGTTATTTATTTATTGTTGAAAAAAGATATAAAAAGGAAAAAAAATGTAACATTAAAATGATATAAATAAAAATGTAAATATAAAATCGCTGAAAGGTATAATATCTATTATTTAACATTCCACCCTAAAAGAAATTCGGCTTATGATTTCCTTGGATAAGTTGAGTGGTATGGTAACGCTATTGGCGTTCATGATCGCCACGCAATACGCCATCCATGTTCATGGTGCAGTCTTCTTTTCAAACCGAACGATGGCTTGGTAAAGAAAAGGCAGCCCTTAGCTAACTTCCCAATCGAATCGCTTGTGCATGGTATCAGACATCTAGATTCTTCTCGAGCAAGGTTTATGTTGTCATTCAGCCAGCTATCCAATTCCTAAGTCGTTGCATCGATCTTGGCACAAGAAAATCTCCTTGAATGATCTTAGAGGCACAGCATCCGGCTTTAAGTGAACTTTCTCTTGTCTGACCATTTTAGGTTTGTAGGAGTAAGTTGATTCTAGGTCTTTTTTTGTTGTCGAGATTATCTTCTCAAGATCATTCTCTATAGCGCACTAAGAACGTTTTTAAAATGTTGTTGAAGGCGTGGAGCCACATACACCCTAGCAGGGGGATCTAGTCACAATCCACTACTATGGGATCCAGCGTGTGAGTTACCTTCATACTTAACGTTTACATTGGCAAGACCTAATATCTTGATGACGCAGCCGTCATAAACAGTGAGTTTCATATCCGTCTTACGTATCGTGGTTATGCCTACAGTCTTAGCTGTCAGCTTAGGAAGTATAGTGTACCTTGTACCGGTGTCTATTTGCATCAACGTGGGTATGTTGTTGATGCTCACCGTTACGTTGTACGCGTCATATCTGGTATCGTTTACCCCCAGATTGTACACTTCCAAATTCTGTAGATTATATTCTTTAAGGTTTGTGTTTAAGTCGTCGTCATCATCAATTACTTCGATGTTCATGGCATGGTTCATATTCAATTGGCAATCACAATCTTTATAGTCAGAAGATCTGTTGTAGGTATTATTGTCATTATTATAATGGTTGGGCTTCGAACAAATATTTCGGAAAGCCATTAATATTTTGAGAGATTTGTCTGTGCTGACCACGACAGGAATAGTTGGTTCGGTTATCACCTCTATAGCAGTCATCCCGTCGATCAGGGCTTTGATGATGGTCACAATAATAGTCGTGGCGATTGCCATGTACGTTGTACCCGCTATTGTTGTATCGATCGTCGTAGTAGTTATCGTTGCGATTGTCAAAACGGTTGCGGTTATAGTGACAATTATCGTAACTTTGATCAAAACGATTGTCGTGGAAGTTGCTGTGCCGTTCATCGAATCGTTTGTCGCGGCCGGTGTCGTAGCACATCTTGTAACGTTTATCAAATCGTTTGTCGCGGCAATAGTCGTAGCATACTTCGTAACGTTCATCGAAATGTTGTCCGTGGCGATTGTCATTGATGAACTGAGGTTTTTTGATAAGAAATTTACCATGTGCCTGAGAGTCCTGAATGGGTTTTGTTATTACGTAACCATTTTTGACTCTGCCCATGTGATTAACCTCTTGTATTCCAGGTGATTCAGTCAAATGAATGGCTTCAACGTTCATCACGCCCTTGATGTCACTTGGCTCCGTGGTGTCTTCCTCTAGACCTAGATTGTAAATGTCTTCTATAGTCATAGAGCTCCTGACCGCTTTCCTGACATCTTTGGAATTCGAAGCAACTCTCACTTTCTCAATAATGCGCTGAATGCTATTAAATTTGCATTCTTTATTGAGTCGTGCTACGTGTGTGACCCAAGCCAAGAACGTCTCCTCCTTGCCTTGAGTGGCATCATAAAATAATGACAGTTTAGCGTTCTCAGTCTTCGATGGATGTTGTAGTTTGAATTTGCCAAGCAGGACGATTGGGTCCTAAAAGTCTGCCTCCGTGCAAATTGCTCCAATATTATTGAATTCGTCATCTGGAAGACTTCGGAGAAACAACGCGGCCTTTTCTCCGTTGCAGTGGCCCCTACACTTTTTGAGCGAATGAAGCAGAATACCCCCATGAAAAGTGCCCACTTGAAAAGTCCCCCCCCCCCTTCAAAAAAATGATAATTTGACGCCCATAAATTTCAAAAATAATTTTTATTGCATCAATTTTTAATATATAATATAAATAAAATGCAAAAAATATAACTTTATAAATATTATTTTAAATTAATAATTTAGATAAATTAGGGGAAGAGAAAGCGAAAGCGAAAGAATTTATAATTTCATCAGTATTTAATTGTTTAAATAAAAAATTTCCCATTGATAATATGGTTAAATTATTGAGAAAAGAATTTTTCATGGTACTGCGCAGTCTTGTTTTAATTAATTTAATTTTACTCATGACTCTTTCGGCAGTACATGAGGTTGTGGGAATGGTTAATAAATATTTATATATAATTCTTAAATTAGGGAAAGCAGAAAAATTTTAAAGTAAACGATAAGGTAAAATAAATGAATAGTTTTTCCAATCTGAATCGTAAGTCCCTGAATTATCATCATCATCATTAGAAGAAGCTAAATAATGTATTGGTAAAAATATTTTAATTAAATAAATTTACAATTCTCAGAATCTGACAAATCTTTATATTCTTGAATATCTAGGTCATGAGTAATAATTACATTCCCCATTTTGGCCATCTTATAAATATTTCTAAACTTCAACATTTCTTCGAAAATTTGAATTGAATTTAAATTGTAAAATTCACAGATATCCTCAATATCTTCTTTAAAACTTGATTTTTCTGCCATTCCCTTTGGCGTAAAAAATGATGTTTGATGTAAAAATTTCATGGAATCATCATTAAATCTTTCGACTGCATAATAATTAAATCGAGTGCAGCATAAAACACACCTATTTTAAAGCTAAAAAAAATTTCTATATTTAAAGATGAAAGTATATATACCTCTCCTTTTTGGATTGTAATGTTTGAAGTCTAGAACTTTCAAAATCAAAATGTAGATTTCTCTCCTTCATAAAATCTTGCGCCTTTGAAAAAACATCCAAAAATTAAGTGTTATTATCTATTAGATTAAAAAATAATTAAGACAATAATTTATATTATACTTCTCAAATTAATCAAGCAATCTTTTGTCAATTGAATTTGAATTATTGCATACCCTATATTCTTCGAAATGGTTTGCAATTTTGTACAAGCCAAACTTGTTATCAACAATATTTTATCCAAAACACAAAGTGATAAGATAAAATCAAATTTTTCTATTCTAAAGACTATAGCACTAGCCATAGTGGAAGTGGCAGGATCTTCAGAATCCTTTAAATTTGTTAAAGCTGCCCTTAAGGCATCATAAAGTTGAAAAAAATTTACAATAGCTTTATATGACGATAGCCAGCTTCTAAATAAAAAAAACATTTAAAATTTAAATAAATAAGGAACTATTACCGAGTGGTATTCTTGACGGGTAGAAATCGTTGCGATTTTTGCAGATCATTACACTAAAATTTTTGAGTACTTCATATATTTTTACACCATTCAAATAGACATAAATCTCATCTAGTATTCATAGAACATTTCGAAGTTCTTTAATTGATTGGCATAATTGAACAACGATTAAATTTAATCGATGACAATAACACCAAATAAAAGCTGCCTTTGGCGCCTCTGCTCTAATCAAGGCTTGCACACCACTGATTCTTCCACTCATGTTTGAGGCGCCATCATAACTTTGCCCAACTAGATATTCAAGGGGTAAATTCATCGAGCCAAGTTTGGATATTATATTATGCTTTATATCGAGACCTGTGGTATTTCCCGTACAATATATGTCAATCAGTCTTTCAACAGTCGGCGTCTCACTATTTTCAACACATCTTACTATCAAAGCTGCAAAGAATAAAGGTTGGTGACGATATCGCGCGAGGTTCGAGTCAGTAAAAATATATTTTATTAACTAATTTCTTTTTCTTTTCTTAAGGTATTTATACATTTTCTAACATATAAATTAGAATATAAAACGAAATACAAAAAAGTAAAATAATATATAAAAAAGTAAGGTTACGCCGTTTATAAAATAAAATTAGATTATAACAAAAATAATAAAAGTTCAAATGCAAAAAACAAAAAATAAGATAAAGGAATAACGCAACATTCTCCCTCTTCTGATAATTTCATCGGAGAAGTCATAGAGAGTTTGTTGTTCAAGTGGTTTATAATTTTGGTAATCAAGTTGTATCACAAATCATCATAACGTTGGCTTGTCCAATCGTTGGTTTGTATAAATCGATTTTGCACATTGGTTTGTTTAATCACAAGCTTGATATCCATATAATTGTCTCCATTAATCATAGCTTGTTTGATCGAACTCAATTGTTAATTATCATTTTTCCAGTTGAATATTGGAATTTGGAATAAATCAGAATATGTAATTTGGAATAGTTGATCAAATCAAATATATGAATAATATGCACGAATAAAATTTTGAATTTCGGAACAATAAAATATGTAATAAGGAATGATAATTTATGTAATAAGGAATGATAATTTATGTAATAAGGAATGATATTTATGTAATAAGGAATAAAATTTTAATCCAGAATAAGGAATGATAAATTATAATAATTATTATATTATTTTTAAGTTAATCATAGCGTTTTATACTTTTAGCGTTTTATACGTTTTATATTTTTAGCGTTTTATATTTTTTGCGTTTTACATTTTTTAGCATTTCATATTTTATAAGCGTTTAATTTTTCGTGTTTTAGTGTTTAATTAATTTTTGTTTATTTTCTATCTCCCAGGTTAAAATATGCAAATAATATATTATTCACATTTCCCTCTCTTTAAATAAAATTTTAAATTTCACACCCTAATTTTAATTCAAAAAAAAAATTCTTCATAAGATAGTTTTGAAAATTCACCACATAATTTAAATATATTTTTCTAAAATGAATGTTTTTTTACATAACTTTTTGTCTTCAAAGCTTTTAATTTCAAAAACTTTTTATCATATTAAGTATTACTTATGAAGGTTATTTGAATCAATCATGTGATTTAAAAATTACATTTTAACATATTTAAAATTAAGTTTTAGGATTTTTAATATTTTTAATTATATTTAAGAATTCATCTTTAGGTTTATGTTAATTTACAACAATTGGTCATCATTCAAGAAATCAAAAAATATCAATATTATCCATTATGATTTTACATTTTAGTAATTTTAAAAATTTATAACATGCCTTTATCCTGGCATAAAATTTTAATTTATAATACTTCTTACGTGGATTAGAATAATAAGTAACCATCATTGGTCTCACAAAATAGAATTCATAACCTATCGTTCAACTTCCATATCAGTTCTTCCTAGGTTGTCACATTAGGTTAGGTGCTGGCTATTATATTCCAGTCCAACATCCAGAGCCGGGACACCATAAAGAAAGAAGCTTTTTGCATGAAAGAACGTACTAAGGTTTGATTCTTGGTCATCTCAGTAGTTTAGGTAGTCACAATAGATAAGGTAGTCATAACATCACAATAGATAAGGTAGTCATAATAGGTAGTCATCTCCATAGGTTAAGCAATCAACACAATAGGTAGTCATATAAATAGAGTCATCTCAATGGATTAAACAATCGTCACAATAGGTAGTCTAAATAGAGTCATCTCAATGGATTAAGCAATCATCACAATAGGTAGTCATATAAATAGAGTCATCTCAATGGATTAAGCAATCGTCATAGATTAGATGGTCATCTCAGCAGATTAGGTAGTCATCTTTTTCTAGTCCACCACCCAAAGGGCACCATGCAAAGAATAAGGATGGAGACGATATGGTGCGAGGTTCGAGTCAGTAAAAATATATTTTATTAACTAATTTCTTTTTCTTTTCTTAAGGTATTTATACATTTTCTAACATATAAATTAGAATATAAAACGAAATACAAAAAAGTAAAATAATATATAAAAAAGTAAGGTTACGCCGTTTATAAAATAAAATTAGATTATAACAAAAATAATAAAAGTTCAAATGCAAAAAACAAAAAATAAGATAAAGGAATAACGCAACAAAAGCTATTGCTTCTGATTTCGAAACATCGTATGTGCCATCAACTATGATTGAAAAGCACCTGTTAAATGTAATCTCATTTTGAATTTTTTTTATAACCATATTTTTCATGGTTTCAATGAGAATGTTTATGTTATTATATGATAATAGGTTTGAATATAATTTCGTTTTTAATTTCTTATTTTTTTTATCCTTTTTTCTTTCTTCATTTTGCTGTGTATACATTTTTAGTAAAGGTTCAGAATCTGCAATAAGCTTAATAAGGGCCATCATATTGCCTTCTTGTTGCCTGTTCCCCCAGAAGGCTTGGTTACGAGATATTAAATAATCTAAACATCTTATTATAATTCTTATAATAGAACGGTTATTATCTACACATTCTTTCTGAGGTGTTATAAATTTTAATATCGAATTTTTATTATGAGAAAGCCTTCCATAATCGGCCATCATATGTGCCTGTGATGATTCATGCAGAATAATATCACGATTAATATTTTGCCATTTATCTAGACCTTCACATGTCCATTTTGTATTTGCTTGTGGACCACGAAATAAGAGACATGTTAAGCAAAAAACTTTATACATTTTAATACTATAAGTAATCCAATTTCAAGTAATTTTGCTATTGTCAATATTGGTTAATATTTTTAGGCATATTTTATAATTGGAAAAACAAGAAATTTCTGATAACAAATTTATTAAACATCGACCAAAATTTCCGTCAATATATTAAATTAAATATTAAGTGGGGGGGGGTCTTATTGTTACATTTATAAACCAGAAATCACATGATCATGATGGATGTAAAAAAAAAGTACCCCCACTCAAATTTACTGAAGCAGTTGCTTCGGACCCCCCCCCTCCCCGTTGTAGGGGCCCCTGCTCCGTTGAAGATCTTGCTGGTGTCTAAGAAATTCTGCAATTTCCCTATGAAGGCGCTGTAATCGCTACTGAATTTAGGGAAATCCAGCTTGATGAATTCAGTCATATATGTGGAATTGTTCAAAGCATCCATCGCGAAGTTCGGACGTAATTTGGCCTTTATAACATAAATAACAGAGAATATATCCTCATCTCACATCTTTCAATGACAAAAACTAAATAAAAAACTTTTTCGCATTGACGGATGTGAGATGAGGATATATTTTCTGTTATTTATGTTATACAACTCCATATAAGATCTTAAATGAAACTCGCGTCTATATTTTTATAAATTAGAATATTATATTATATAAATTAGGTTTTTTGTCGTAACTATTTATATAAATATGAGATTATAGTCAAGAATCGATTTTAGAGTTTGTTAAGGATAATGAATCGTAAAATTGATGATAACCAACAATCCTTTCAATGTAATATTTGATTTTTTAAAATTATATAAATCTTTTAATACAGAACACCCATACAATTTATTTTTTACGTTCTACTATTATTATACAACGTCATATCAAGCATTTTATTATAAGGAAATTTTTAACTAATATTTACAATAATTTGCCCACATCTTCCCCTATTGATAATCGGTGGCCCTCATGTTTAAAATGTTTTATAGAAGTTAACGAAGAATTAAAAAGAATATTTCATAAATGGAGAGTAAAAAATAATCATTAAATTTACTTATTATTAGTTGAAATTAGTGTTATAAGTATAGACAAAAATTAGATCAAATTGAATGTAACAAAATGCATGAGAAGGCTATTGCCAGTACTATATTCAAGGATAAGAAGTTAAGTTATGCTAGAAGGTTTATTATATATATTTATGACATAAAGAGAATTATTAAATTACAAGTGTACCTCATATATTTTGTGGAGATTATATTAAATTGCGGCAAAATCCTAAGTGGCTTAAAATGTCCCATGAAACATATGAGCATTATATAGTTTTTGCTGACATTGTTCACAAAATTAATCGGTCAGATGGAAGTGTAATTATAATTATACAATTATTAAAAAAATTTAAACTATTTTTAAGTTTGTACAAAAATTATTAGTGGTGACTACTAAAGGACTTTTAATTATTGATTACCGCACACTTGAAGCAAAATATATCATACCTGCTTTTGAAATAATACAAATATCTTTAAGTCCATTTTCAGATGGAATTGTAGCCTTCAATATAAAAGTAATTGATTAATATTGGATTCAATATAGTATTTAAATCAGATGCACTGATACTCATTTTTTCCTATATCTTTTTTAAAATTTTATTGCAAAATTATTTATATTGTGAAGAATAAACATGCAATAAAATAAATTAATCAAGTATTGTTTGGAAATGGAGACTACTCATTTTTTCCTATATCTTTTTTAAAATTTTATTGCAAAATTATTTATATTATGAAGAATAAACATGCAATAAAATAAATTAATCAAGTATTGTTTGGAAATGGAGACTGGATTTTTTTTATACTATTCAATAATATTTTTAAAAAAATTTATCATCAGTATATACCACTTTGGTATCAGCAAGGCTGTGCTGATAAATAATTGGATTGGCTCAATATTTTCAAAACAATAGATCTAATATTATCAATGATTTTATGATAAAAAAATTTGAAAATATTTTTAAAGTTGATAATTAAGTAAATTTATGCTGTTATCCTTTATAAAAAATTATTATGGACTTATTCAAAATATTTTATAGGTTGGGCCAAAAACCTAACAGAAAGTTTCCATAAGCTAGTTTGGCTGTGCTAACTAAGATTTAATTTGTACATAATTATATAATTTTTTTTTTATATAATTTCCTATTAAAAATACCAACATTTAATTTATTAGTTATTTTTTTATAAAATCAAATTAATTTTAAAAAAAAATTAAAATGAGGTGTTTTTTATTTTTATAACAAGAAAATGATTTGAAAATATTTAAAAAACAATCACCCATATTTTGAACACTATGATTAACTTTTGAGGTATAAACAGGGTTGCCAGATGTCACAATTTAGCTGTGATTCTCACGATTTCATACCTAATTATTTACTTACCCACGTTTTCTCACACTTCACGCTTTTCTCACGTTTTTTGAGTAAATGAAAATAATCACACTTAGTCTCACATTTTTTTTCACATTTAAATTTTTTTAAAATATTTTTAAAAACAAATATAAAATTTTAAATTAATTTTATTTTAAAATATTTAAAAAAATTGTAGTATTTGTTAATAGTCCAACTAACCAATCATATTCATTGATCAATTACCCACAACAGAAATTCAATTTTTAGAAAGTTAATCAAGTATAATTATAATATGAATTTAAATAACTATACATTTCTTTTATGGATTTTATAAATCTTATATTAAAACTTGTAAAATTTTAAATGAAATAAATTAAGGGCAAATAATATAAAAGATCTAAAAAACAATCATCCGTTTTCAATACTAACGGATGCATAGAATAAAGGTAGTATAAAAACATTTCCCTTATTACTTAGATACTTCAACAAAAAGAATGGAATAAATGTTTAATTACTCAAAATTTTTTCGTCTGACAGTGAAACTTCTACAGACATATCTAGATGCTTGCTAAAAAAAATTAAAATTCGCTGAACTTGATATTGCTAATGTAACGGCCTATTGTGCAGATAACGCATCTGTAAACTTTGGGAAAAATTAAAGTATTTGGACAGAATTGAAAAGCCATAGTAATAATATTATACCAATGGGTTGTATACAGGGGTTCGAACCGAACCGCAAAACCGGAATGAACCGTTATGATTTTCTGAACCTTAACCGAACCGTTATGAAGAAAATATTAAAAAAACGAACCGAACCGTTATAAATATTTTAAAAATAATTAATTTTAAATTATTAACCTAAATTTAAAATTTTAATTTTCCTTGGGGGCATTTTTTAAATTGGTGATTTCTTTTCAAATTAAATATTTCTATATTATCAACATTATATATCAAATTAAATATTTTTATATTATCAACATTATATATCAAATAATACCAGGTTTGTTGTTTTTTCTTTAAATACTTAATTTATAAGAGATTAGACAATTTATCTGTTAATTAAATAAGATATCTTAAAATCATTAGTGACATATTAAAAGCTTTATATCCAGCATATGTTTTGACAAAATATTTACAAAGTGAACAATTGACAATGGGCGATTTTTATGCTGCGTGGATCAAATGTCTCATGCAAACGAGTAAAGTAGACACTCCATTTGCCAGACTTTTAGTTTCTACGATGAAAGCAAGAGAAATAAATTTCAAAAATGAAGTTTTTTGCTCTGCTATTTATCTCAACCCTAGATATAATGTATTTTTAACTTTTGAAGAAAGAGAGATCGCCAGAAAACATCTTTGTAAAACTTGGAACTTGATACAAAATCTAAATAATCAGAATATTGAAATTCTAAATACTATGCCTACGTGTTCGTATTCGAAGGATAATTTATATGATGATTTTGAAGATTTATTAAAGTCGCATGAAAGTCTTAATAAGAATAATTCTCAGGGCATCGAAAATTATAATAAATGTATAGAAATAGAATATATAATTCGGTCATTTGATAATATAGAGAGATTAGAAAAAGATACTAATCTTTTGAATTATTGGGAAAATGTAAAGAATAGTATGCCAGAACTTTATAAGTTAGCTATAACTGTGCTAGCAGTTCCAGCTACGCAGGTCTCCATAGAAAGAGCATTTTCAAGCCTTAAGTTTATACTCTCTGCGCAGAGAACTAAATTAAATCCTGAAATATTAGAAAATATTTTAGTTATCCGTTCGAATTCTCTTTTTAAACCTAAATAGTATAGTATACATATTATTTTATTCATTATTGTATTTACGCATGTTTGTTTTTATCTTATTTATTTATGAAATAAAAAAAAACTAATTTGTCTAATTTATATTTCCTAAATTTAATAAAAATATCTATTAGATTATCATGGATAAATTAAATAAGAAATTATAAACTAAAAAGATTTTTCTCTAAAATTAATATATACATGGTTAATGATTAATTTTTTTTAAATTAAATTTATAAAAACCGGAACAAACCGAAAAGAACCGTTATAAATTATAAACCAAACCGAACCGATATGATTTTTTTTTAAAAAACCGAAATGGAACAAAACCTTTATAAAATTTTAAACTAAAAACCGGAACGAACCGAACCGTTATACTAAACGGTTCGAAACCCTGGTTGTATATGCCACATTCTTCACAATTCGTTTAAAAAGGCCATAATTTTTCTTAAATATGATATTGAGATTATAGTAAATGCTATAATTAATTTAGCAACTCGACAAAAAGAGTTACAATTTTAAAAGAATTGGTAGAATGGTGCAATTTAGAATGGTGAGAATCACTTCGCCATGTTCCAACACGCTGGCTTACATTAATCCCAGCGATTAAGCGGATGCTTAAGTATTTTCAACCCCTTAAAGAATATTTTTTATCATTATCAGCAACCTTACCAATTTTGAAAATAATTTTGCAGAGGCATATTTAGGTGTTGTCCTTAACGTTGACACTTTAGTCAATAACATAAATTTACAATTGCAATCTGAAGATGTATTAGCATTATATATATATGATCTTATCCTAAAACTAAAGAATTCATTAAATTTAAAAATTCAACAAAATTTTTATGGGAGCATTTCTAAAAATATTTTACAACATAATAATGATGTAGAAAAGGCAATAAATTTCAAAAATGAATCAAAGATATTTATAAAAAATATTATAGAATATGTAGAAAAACGTTATATTATAGATAATATATGGAAATATCTTAGCCCTATGACATTAAAATAATGTCCAGAATTTGAACAATTACAAAAAATTATTAGTAATTATAAAATACCAAACATAGATACAGAAATTCTCTTTGAGAAATATTCGCAATTTTATTCCTTTTATGAAGAAAAATTATCAAAAAACTATCACATGAATACCCAAGAAAAATGGATGGATTTTCTTTCTAATAAAAACTCACCATTGATAGAGAAAATATGCAATTTTATATTTTCTATTCCGCATTCAAATGCTTAATCAGAGAGAATATTCAGTCTAATGACTACTGCTTGGCGAAAAGAATGTCATCATTGGAAGCTGAACTTATGGTTAAACAAAATATAACTATTCATGCAAAGAGTTTTCAGCCTATCTCCACAGTGCCGTTGAGAAATCTTTATTGCCTTTTGAAATCATCCATAAAATATAATAATTAATATTATGCTATATTTATAAAAATGAGAAAATTATATATCATAATTGTTATTAGTAAATCAATAAAGAATTTTTATTGTCTTTAAAATCTTGTTATATTAAATATATATTAACTTAGATGAGTATGCTACATCAAAAAGCGGACCGAAGGCCCGCAAATTGGGGGTATGGGGGGCGAAGTCCCCCATTAATTATTATAAAAGAAATACGTTTTCAAGTGAAGAATATCTGGCAACCCTGGGTATAAAACAAAATACACTTAATTATTTATAAAGATTGCCTGAATTCCAAAGTGTTTCTTGTTTTGCTCATAATTTACACTTAGCAGAAAATATGATCTTTTTAAAAAACATTAAATTAAATATGGTAAATAAAAATCAATTTAAATATCAGATTTGATATGAATATCCCATTTAATTGGTGAAAGATAATGGGTTGGCGTAACCCTTTTATAGGCAAAAGAGTAATATCAGTGCATTTTCAATTAAAAACATATTCTATGTAAAAATTTATTATTATATTTTTAAGCCTCATGAAAAATCTCAAAAAGGTGACTTTATGATAATAAGCAATCATGCTATTGAAATCACATCAAAACTTTATTTAGTTATTTTAAATATATGTAATAAACCACCCATTATTTCTATCAGTCCTAAGTAATAATTCTTTTATACTCTATTTATTTATTTATTATTCCAGGTTTCAATTAAATCTCTTAAATACAAAACTAAATGTTACTGTAATTTCTGAAAGATCTCCAATTGATGAAATTTTTGCTCAATTACCTAAGATTTCCAAAAAAGCTAATGACATGAATATAATTATTTAATAATTTTATAAACAGTTTTTTTTACAAATGTGCAATACAATAATAATCTTTTTTATTCAACCAATGCATTTTCATTTAATGATCAAAACATGAATCATTTTGTAAATTTGTACAATATTTTAAATTAATCCAACATTCCTGTATGATTTGTTTATACTTCTATCTGTTTTTTCTTTTAATCGTTCTCTCACTGAAGCCTCATGTCTAAATATTACAATAAAATAATATTTTTATAAAAACATAGTGGGATGGTTGATATATAAAGTATTCCAGAACATTTCGATAATTTAATATTTTTAGAAATAGAAATGGAACTTTTTAAGGAAATAGAAAGAAAAATATGCAATATTCCAAGTCCTTGATTACAATTGGAGTTGCATCGTTACTAATTACATTGGTATTGGACGTTATTTTGGGCCTAAAATATGCAATATTCCAAGTCCTTGATTACAATTGGAGTTGCATCGTTACTAATTACATTGGTATTGGACGTTATTTTGGGCCGATATATTGAATTAATACAATTTTGCACTGAAAGAAATATTATTTTACAAAATTTAATCAGAAAAAAATGTAATTTTTAGTCCATTATAGTTTAAAATAATTTTAAAAAAGATTGCTTTTAATATTTTTTCGTTTTTTCCCACCTAGAAAAGAAATGTTTTAGTAATTTTATTTCATCAATAGCGTCATTTGATGGTTGAATTATTAAGTAAAAAATTTTTAATAAAAGTATCGGTTGTATACCGATACCCGATCGCATAAAAAATTTCGATGCATCTATGATTATATTTAAACATGTATATCGTTGCTGAGAATTGGATTATTCTATATCCACTTTTTGTTAAAAATGACTTTTTTACATAAATCAATTTTCTATAATTATGGTGTTCTATTTAGAAAAAATAATTCGAAATTAATATAAAATAAGTTAAATCATAGCCAATATAAGGTTAAATATCCATTTTTAAAATTAAGCTACTGTAATATTACAAAAATGGAGATGAAATAATCTAATTTTCAGGTGACGATATATAAAAAAATTGAAATGTGCCTTAATCTGAAAATTTCTTCATCATCATCTTTAATTTCTTGTGGATCCTCCATATTCCAAATTATGTTGCGTATTTTATTCAGGCAATCAGCTTGATTCAGCATTTGATAACGCGTCTTTTCGGAAGTGATAATCATGTGTCCTTCTTGATTTATTTTATTAGGAAGCTTTAAAAAGATATTTTTAGCAAAAATTACAATTAAACGGAGATTTCGGAATCTCAATTTTAAATCATTTTTTACTGATAGGGACATTTTTAAATTTGAAAAAAAAATAATCTATTCGATCAGAAACACATTACAGCATGTGTATGAGTTATCCGCTTTGTGAAAATTTATACAAATTTTGTGGAGAACTTTTGAAGTTACTCCTAATTATTAATTTTTATATACAGATCGTTTGTATTAAATTAAAGATAAATAAAAGTTCAAGACGTCCATAGGGTAGGTACTCTACAACATTACGCTTGCTGGAATATATTTAAGGCCGAATTTATAAATGGTCATCTTGAAAATGATTTAAAATCTAGATTCCGAATCACCATGGTAACCATATCCCAATATGATATAAAAAAATAGTAATAAATATGAATACGGTCACCAGTTATGGCGGTAACCCAATTCTATTTTGAATAGTGTTGTCTAAAGCCATGCTAAGTGATATTTTCGTGGCCGAAGTCCGAATTTAAAATGTTTTGTGCGTGAGCCTGAGGCTTCTGACAGCCTATGTTACCTACACTTTAAGAGTGATGGAAGTAGAATATCCTCCTCAAAAAAGGGAATTAATTAGTTACAATAATTTTTATTGCATCAATCTTGAATATACATAAAAATGTAAAAAAAATATTAAAATCTATTTTTTTTAAATTAATAATTTAGGCAGATAAAATGGTTTAGTTTAATTTGTTATAAACAATATTTTACTCAAAGCACAAAGTAATAAAATCAAAGTTTCTATTCTAAAAACTATAGCCAAAAGTGGCAGAATTCTTTAAATTTGTCAAGGATGTCGTCAAGGTATTATGAAGTAGAAAAAAAATTACAATAGCTTTATATGATGATAACCAGCTTCTATAGATGTAAGAAACACCATTTAAATCTAAACCAATAAGATAATACCACCGAGTGGTATTCTTGATGCGTAAAAATCGTTGCGATTTGTCAGTACAGACATGCTTGAGAACTGCATATATTTTTTAACACCAGTGAAATTCATGTGAATCTCCTCTAAGATCCCTAAAATATTTGTATTTTTTTTATCAATTGGCATTGAACAACCATTAACAATCGATGACAATAGGACCAAATAAACTGCCTTTGGGGCCTCCGCTCTAATCCCCCCACCCCCTTTGTAGGGGCCACTAATGACAGCCCATGCAGGACACTAGTTGTGTCATAAACTTGGAAATTCATTTGATTTTTCATTAAAAAAATTGGAATTATATTTTTTTCAGTAAAAAATATAAGGGATTCTAAAAAAGACATTGAGTCATTACCTCATCGAAATTTAATATTTTTTGATCGCCACCCACTTTCCTCCTTCTGAGTTGCAGCTAAAACGATTCACAATTATCAGCCGGGAGAGGGCGAAGCCTAATTCGTATAAATTTCTAAATTATTTCATGAAAAACGTGTCATATACCTAAGGTGTATATATAATAACTCATATTTGAAAATTAAAATTACTATAAAAATATTTGGCAAAAAAATATTTTATATATATAGGAAACTAGCGCTACATATCATTTTTATTTTATTTTTTTGAGGTAATGGGGGGGGGGGGGGTAAAAATAATTTTTTTTATAGAATCCATTATATTATTAAAACCCAAAACGACGCAAATAAACGTTTCCTCCATTTAGATACGAGTAAAATATATAACAATTTTGACGATATCAAAGACCCTATTATTTTTAATGTAAGTCAAAAATGTAAAACTATATTTTAATATAAAAGTATATAATGGTAATTTTCATTTAAGACGTTTCAGTGCGTTAACTAGAAAGAAGATTCATCAATTCCCTAAAATAACTCAATATTAATAAAATAGTAAATGGGTTGTTAAAATTATATTTTTATTGGTTAATATTTGAAATATAATGTGTAATCTGAGATTTATTATATATATGGTAAAATCAATATAAAACAAAAATTTTTTTATTTTTTTTAAAATAAATTTGAGCTGGGCCAAACAAATAATTTTAACTTCGGGTCAGGTATTTCGGGACAAATGAAATATTTTTTTGTTCGAGATTGGGTCAGGCTTAAAAAATTAGGCATGATTCAGAAAAACGGTGTAAAATCGCTCCATTTGAGCCGATTTTTAAAAACGACTAACTCATATTTTAGCCAGCAAAATATTGCCAAAGCTCCGAGATTTTGCTAAGAGATGTCTAAATCTTTGTGCTATCTATGAGAAGAATCTCTAGACTTGAGTAGTATTTTTCTGGATAAAATACTGAGTTCGCCGATTTTAAAAAGCGGCTCAAATGGAACGATTTTGTATCACTAATGCATTAAGGTATCAAGATAAATTTTTATATTATGTTTATTTATTCAATTAAATATATAATCATATTCCTTATAATAAAATTACATCCGAGTTTATTTTGTTACAATTAAAATAAACAAGGTTGTCCAAAAAAAATCGATATAGATAAGTTTACACATTTAAATACCTATCAAATTTTGAGTAATTATTTTTTAAATGGCCATTTATAAAGGTCATTCGTGTAAAAGTGATATTCAAAAAGTATAACGCCAATTATGATATAGCACAACACTATCTTTAAGTAGAAAGATTTCTAGCTTAGCTAAAAATGTGTTTAAGGATACTTCGGGAATAATTAAAATCTAAAAAATATAATTTAATTTCATATTTTATGAATAAATAAAATATAAACTGAACAAAAAAATGTTTGATTCACTTCAAGATTTCCAATTTTGACATTATATACACCACCATAGATTATTATAAAACTGTTTATAGATACCTTTGTATCTATCCTCGTACATTTGTAAAGTAGCATTTAATAATTCTGGTATTAAGGGCTAGAAGTTTGCAAAGATAACCTGAAAATTCTGATTTGACCAGAAATGCTTATATAGAATATTCTGACTGAATTTCAAACAACAATTTATTACATATAGACACAATTCATTGTTAGAAACTATCTTTTATTCAATTTTCATAAAAACACAAGAATCCTTTATTTTTTCACGAATCAAAAAAAATGAATAATCAATAATATATTCTTAATTTTACAATCAATAAAACATCTGATTGACATTTTTTAAATATAATATTATAATTTTTCTAAGTATACATATTTTATTAATATCTACAACATGTCCACCCCTAAAAGGCCAAGGACATGTACAACTAAATAAATATATATCAAAATTTATCACATACAAAATCTTTTCATTAATCGTCTTGTTTCAACAATTTTATTTCCTCCATTTCGGAGTCTGTGAATTCTTCCTCATTTTTAGTTTGGCCTCTATTTATAGATTGATCCTCTTTACCAAGTCTCATATAGTAGCTGGTACTGCACACACTTGCGGGATCGGACACCTTTTTTCATAGATTTTTTAAGGGAATTCTTTAATCTATCGCTTTGAAAGTCGCATATTCCCTTGATAAGTCCTGGGTGGCCACACTCGATTGCCGTAGTACTTTATCCGGGAATCTAATTCATTTATCTTATTATAATTTAACAATCCCAATTTCTCTTTTTTTATCACATTATAATTACCGGAACAGCTTGGTTGACTTTTACTATCTTCCTCACGGTAAAATTGGGATGTTCACGTTTTTTTTAGCAAATATGATGGCATTTTACATTCGGCCATCAAATGGTCAGTCCCTTGACACCGAAAACACTTTCGGCCAGTATTAGATGTTTTCTTTTTCCTCTCAAAATCTTTCACTGATTTCAGAATCACAATAATCTTTATGAAACACATTCCACAATCGATCAATGGAAGTTCCTTAGGATTCATTTAAATTTTTAAATTAACTTTAAAAGAAAATTTTTTTAAAATACAAAAAAAAAATATATAAAATTTTTTAAATTAATTTTTTTTTAAATTAAAAAAATATAATAAAAATTTTTCAAAAATTATACATGTTTTATACCCTTTTTTCAAACACATTTCAAACTTTTATCTCATTTCAAACCTTTGTATGATCATACTTAGCCGTTTTATTTTTATTCATAAAAACATTTTATCTGTTTCATTGCTACACCACATATAATAAAAATTTATTTCAACAAATAAATTTTCCAGTAATTACAATGTGATAAAAAAGAGAAATTGGGATTGATAAATTATAATAAGATAAATGAATTAGATTCCCGGATAAAGTACTATGGCAATCGAATGCGGCCACCCAGGATTTATCAAGGAAATATGCGACATTCAAGCGATAGATTAATGAATTCCCTGAAAAAATCTATGAAAAAAGGTTATTCTGATCCCACAAGTTTATGCAGTACCAGCTACGAGACCTGGTAAGGAGGATCAATCTATAAATAGAGGCCAAACTAAAAATGAAGAAGAATTCACAGACGCCGAAATGGAGAAAATAAAATTGTTGAAACACGACGATTAATGAAAAGATTTTGTATATGATAAATTTTTAATGTGTTTATTTTATACATATCCCAATACGACATATATAATTAAATTTAAAATATTAATTATATAGATAATTAATATCTGATATTTATAAAATTCTACCGTTTATTATTATCATACTAGCTGATGGGGTTGAAGGGTAATTATTTAGTTTGTGTGTATGGTATTAAATATACTTTATTAATAAATTTTATATAAATATTAAAATTTAAGAGTAAAAGAGTAAAAGAGGTAAAATTTTTGCAATGTATACTGTGAGCATGTATTAGAAATATCAAAATTTAAAAATGTGATGGAAATCATATTGGATAAAATTTAAAATAGAGGTGCTTTAAGATTTTTGAATTTTAAATATGGGTTATAGATTGGTCTGAAATTTTTTTTGCAAACATAGCCAGGCCTGATCAAAAAGCCATGGGTTGAAGGGTAATTATTTAGTTTGTGTGTATGGTATTAAATATACTTTATTAATAAATTTTATATAAATATTTAAATTTAAAAATAAAAGAGGTAAAATTGTTGCAATGTACACTGTGAGCATGTATTAGAAATATCAAAATTTAAAAATGTGATGGAAATCATATTAGATAAAATTTAAAATAGAGGTGCTTTAAGATTTTGAATTTTAAATATGGGTTATAGATTGGTCCGAAATTTTTTTTGCAGACATAGCCAGGCCTGATCAAAAAACCATGTCCCATGCAACTTTCATAAATTAATTAATAGTTGACATTTTCAAAATTTTGCCTGTGTATTGAAAAGGATTCTTGTTTTTTTATGAAAATTGAATAAAATATAGTATGTTTCCACCAATGAATTATGTCTATATTTAACAAATTAAATAAATTGTAAAAGTATAAAAAGTTGTCTGAAATCGATATGGCAGATAATCTACACATGCTGGAATAAATTTGCAGGAAATAAGAATCTCCAAATTTAAAAATGGCCCTTAGTAAATTATTTAAAATTGAGATATTTCATACTATAGTTTCCTTATCCCATCCAATATGACATAATATTACTATGCTATAAAGCCTCTCAAAGTGCATAAAATTAGCCTTATTTTATAAATATTTTAGCAAGGTAAATACGTTGTTTTTCCAACTGGAGGTCTGCAATGCCTGGCTCAAAAAAAAAGATTACTCGTAGTTTAATCTCTATAAATTGTGTTGTCCGTTGGTTATATATGTAAAATTTACTGATGGCATGTTTTGTTTTGCAAATTAATATAAATCAACTGGCGTTAAAATGTGTCCAGAACTGATGCGCTGAAGGCTCGAACGCACGGCTAATCTTTTTAATGTTCCGCCAAGGCAATCACATGGACCTTTTCCATAGGATGTAGCTGAAAAATGTCATTCAGCTGCTACACCAAAATCTGATTTATGATAACACAGATTTATAAAAAAAATTTCTGTTTTTATATTGTGCAGCTGATCCGTCAGATCAGTAATATATTTTGTCTGCCTTTTGCTGAATTAATTGGTCAAAAAATTTTTCATTTTAGTCTGGTATAAATGTACTGCAATAACATTATGATGAAATGACTCTGATATTACCATATAATTAAAGTTTTCTATATTGCTCTTATTATCATAATATGCTATCATAAGATGCCTAGTGGCTTGATTATTATTCCAGTGGAATCCTTGAACAGTGTCATGGATTATAAATGTATAATTTTCAGAGAAATCACAAATTATATGAAATTCATTTGGTTGTAAAAAATGTTTAAGTTTTGAAATATATGATGATTGATTGGTAGCGATGATAGGAATAAAAAAATAAAATAAGCTGATAAAATCGTTATTTTCAAATAATAACGATAGTAGATTCACAAAAATGAAAGGATATATCTACAAATTATGGCCGTAGGAATTTCTATTAATAAGCGAAAAATTATAATAGTTTTAATAATTTTATTATGTTTATTTTACAATATAGCATCAATAAAATATTATCTGTATGGGCTGCCTGCTTATATATCGCCCCAGGACATCTTCTTGGCTCTACTCAATTTATTTTTAATCTCAATACTATTCATATTTTTATTAAAAATATTATAAAAAAAATTAATATAATGCCATCTATATTTCATTTTTTATTTATAAAAATTTTAATAAAATTAAAAAAACAAAAATGGCTATCGAGATTTTTTATTAAATCGTTTAATATAAAGGTAATAAACATTTTTAGTGAATATTAATACCCAAAAAAAATCCCTTCCTAACAATGTTAATTTTTTATTTTTACAGGAAATAAAAAAACACTTGAAATTTTTAAATTTTTTTTTAATATTTTCCAACGTAAAATTTTAAGGGCTATAAAATGATATATAATTTGTAACTCTATCTTAAGTATTCGAATTTGAAGGCGTATATCTTAGGATATGGTTGAGCTAGCACTCTAAAATTTTGATTTTATTAACATTTACAACATAAATAACTAACATGCCAAGTTTCATTCATTTTTGAGATGGTCGGCCAAAAATTTCGTTTTTTGTCGATTTGACGTGGAATCACCCCGAAGCCAAACCAGGACAAAGAACTTATAAAAAAAGTTATTTATATTTATTGAGCCAGAATATTTTCCAGGTAGGTTTGACACCGGCTGATTTCTAGTTTTTGTATCATTGACTTAAAGAGGATGTAAAATTTTGTTCAAATAAGACACCTTGTTAAAAAATATCAATAAAATAAATAACTCAAACTAGGTATATTATTAAGTATTTAAACATGTCATAAAAACTAAATTTATAAAATTTATATACCTGATCAGCATCATTCCTAAAATATTTTATGCCTAGACAAAAATTATTTGTCATAATACATATATAAAAGTTGTCTATAGATTTAGAACATGTTTATTTAATATGATTTCCCACCCCTTTATTGTGTCACCCTTGGCAATGCCTAACTAGGCTAAACCACAGGGATCTAGGTCATAGATTTACTAGAATTATTTAATTTTTTTTACATGATAAAATTAAATGCATTAATATGATTTCCCACCCCTTTATTGTGTCACCCTTGGCAATGCCTAACTAGGCTAAACCACAGGGATCTAGGTCATAGATTTACTAGAATTATTTAATTTTTTTTTTACATGATAAAATTAAATGCATGTTTATTAAGATAAAATTCCCAAATTAAAAATAAAACAAAAAATTAAAATTAACCTTTTTTTTTATTTTCTCTTTTATTTCCATAGGAATCCAATCAGCTCTTTGCAGATTAAATTTTATCTGAACTTTAGTTTTTCCTAAAACTTTATGAATTATATTCTTAATAAAAGAAAATTAACTTGCATTAACATTTTGTCCCCCTGGACCAGTACTGTTTATATAATTAATTTCTAGGTCATCTATAAAGGAAATTAAAAAATATATTGATAAAATGGTAAACTTAAAGGTATATATCCATCAAATTTTTGTATACACTTTTAAAGAAAAATTTTAAATTGGTTAAGATACATTTACTTGTACAGCATTAGAAAGATATTTTAAAGGTATTCTATCTATATTGATAATATAAAAAATGTAATATAATCATAAAATGTTTACTTAAATTTTTGAAGATTTGTAACATTTGTAAATAATTATAGTAATTCATTCATTCATTCATTACCACGCCAGAAATTGCACCGTGATCACCCACCAGGAATTGAAGCGTGCATCATGTATTTTCACTAGTATATAGATCCCATCCCATACATGATGTCTACCCGTTTTATTATAGTGGACGGTACACTATGTAGCCAGTTAGCAAAGTGAAGAAGGAAGAAGTACAATAATGGTGATGTATTAGTTCCGTTACCGGCAGAATAGTGTTAAGGAAAAAAATAATGTCATATAAAAAATGTACCTGCATCCTTAAGTGGTATTTGGTGAGCAAAAAATAATAACCCTTATATCTTGGTAAGTATTGAGAGTTTATGTTAAGTTTGCATGAAGAGTCTCTTCCTTGTTTGTTGTTCGGTGTGCCAAATATCGTATGTCCTGTAGATCTTGTATGTGCTGTGCCAATGATATTTGGGTTCGTCCGAGTTATTGCGTTATAATCATAACCAGTTTATCTTCTCATTGTCCATTATACAACTAATAGTTTCGTAATTGTTATCGTTATCGTCGCCGATATCGTGTGTCCAGAAAAGAAGGTCGTGGGTTAATAAAAGGAAGTTAAGTTATATTGTTGTTGTTCAGGTTATTATCATTATCAAATATACTTATTCCATTTATTACAAGAACGTAAAGGAGAAGAACGGTTTCAATTTTAATTTAGGCCATATTTTAACATATATTGTAAATGTTCCTTTAGGTGTTTCTTGTTTTTGCTGAGCGCCATGAAATCTGCAAACGAGAGATTAATCAGGTCCATATCTTTCAAACATTTCGCCAACCAATAGTATTTAGGAGTTTTCTTCCTACCGTCAGGGCACCATTTCAAGGACGTTTCCTGCGAGTGTCTTAAGCTATGGCCTAGTAATTCTAGTCTCCTCAAGGGTATGAGACGATTGATTGGTAGGATGTCGCATCTATTCCAGAGCGTTGTATTTGATGTGTTGTATTGGTAATACGTTTTGGTGATTCTTCTAAGGCATTTGATTATAAATGTCTGAATTGTGTTGATGTTACTTTTTGAGTCCTGCCAAGTCTCCAGACCGTAGGTAAAAATGGGTATAATTAGGGACTTAAAGAGTTTTATTTTTAAATTTGTAGATATTTGGTTGGATGACCATAATTTCGACAGTTGATGATAGCGGAGTCTAGCATTATTCGTACTCGATTTCGTATCTAAAAAAGTGAGGCCTAATGATGTTATCCTGGTTCCTAGGTATTTAAAATCTGACACTAATTCTATCATATTACCCTCAAAGTTAAAGGGGTTTAAGTGACTCGCATCGGTATTTGAGGTGATCAGTTTGGTTTTTGTGTAGTTAACTCTTAAACCATATCCATCACAGTTGTTGACAAATAATGATAAAATATTTCTTAATTTGTATTCTGAGTTGGCTAGAATACATACGTGGTCGGCATAACATAGAAAGTTTAAAGATTTGTGCATATCATTGAGGTGTTGTTGATCACTGTAATATGTGTTGAGTGCATTTTCCTGTTTAAGGGATTTATTTAGGATATCATTCATTATTACATTAAAAATAATCGGTGAAAGGATGCATCCTTGTTTGAGGCCCCTATTTGCTTTAAAAGGTTGCGACTTCATATTTAGATGCTGAGGAACTACGCTATGATTGTCGTAAATTGTCTTAATTAGCTAATTGGTCAAAATATCGAAATATTAAAACAGGGATAGAAATGGTACATGACCAAAAATATGTACAATATTTTCTATAGACTGAATGGAGTATTGAGAGGTCTATATTTATGGGCAAGTTGATCTACTAAAATTTAATATTATAATAGAAAACAAAATATCATAATAATACATATCCGATTTGGTCTGGGTAGGATATGACCTTTTTGATTGATAATAGAATGTGCACCTTTATATACTATATAAATAATAACTATGTAATTAGAATAGCATAAAATATCTGCATGTCATATTAAATTAATAGTAAATTAATTACCTATATACTTCCTTTTTATATAAACTTAAAGTATTATGCTGGGTTGATTAATGAAAAATGGTATTTAGCTTGTAAATCCAATTTCACCTTTTTTCGCCTTTTCGTATAACGACAAAACGCATAAAGTTAATCATAATTAGAAATAACGGGATGATAGGAAATTGATAAATATTTATATAAAATATAGGGGAGGAATCTTTCAGAGGGCATAAAAATCTGACAAATAAGCGTCAGAACAGCTCAAAAAAGAACCGAGAGGAGCAAATTTACAACGAGCTGAACGCATTTTTCCTTTCATTCATTTATGCATTTAAAAGATCAAAAATTTCTTATGATATTTCTTACAAGCAATTTTTTATAAATTTATATATTAAGAAGTAAATTGTAATTTAAAAATCAAAAACTTTATATATTTGGCTTATAAAAAATCAATGATGTTTAACTTATTTTTTTTTATTTTCGTCGGGTAAATACTTTATTTAAAAAACAAATTTTCACAAATTATTCTTTTACAAATTATTATTAAAAATATATATTAAAAAAACAAATAAGCATATATTAAAAATGAATTTTAAAAAAAAATATATATATAAAAGAACTGAGGGAAAAAATTTAAAAAAAAAGTACAAATCATTCTAGAGAATAGTGAATGCTTAAAAAATTGGACCGGCATATTTCCAGGGAAATTGCTGACGAAGATAAGATTCATTGGGGTCCCCTGAGATCTGCCTCATTTTTTTCCTATGGTTTTAATGAAATTGAGAGCATCACTTCCGAACATGCCTGGGGTATTAGTAACGATTGGGATAAACACGGTTATGGTGATGCAAGGATATTTGTTTTTTTTTATTTCGGCTTCGATGGCAGAAAATGAGAGGTTGGACTTGGCGGCAAAAGCAACACAGGTATAGTCCCTAGCAAGTGGGCGAACATTGGGCCAAGGAATGAGAGATATGCCAACAGGGTGTATTGCTTTTTCGTTTGAGAGGCCCACTGGTTCGAGGGTGGATGGAATATTAACTTTTTTAAGAGCAGCTAGTAGAAAATTGTTAATAGATTTATGACGCAATTGTCGTCTATAGGAGAACTTGCAGTGCAAGGGATGGTAAGCTTTCGATTCGATGGGATGGCCGCAGTCGATGCAAATGGAGGAAACCACATCATTACAGCCAAGGCGGAGGGCTGTGGAAATGCGTAGCTGTTCACTAGTCAAGAGGAGGCCAAGATTGGAACTGGGGATGGCTTCCAGCCATTCATAACCTGAACTTGCAAATAATACTAAGTTATATGGATTGTCCTCAAAGAACCTGTTCGAAATAAGGTATTCAACGGAACGGGCGATCAGAGGAGCTTCCCATTCTTTTTGAATGCTGGAAGCGGGACGACAAAGAGTGGGTGAGCAGTTGCTGTCCCAAAAGGTGAAGGCCTGAAAGAGGTCAATATTTTAAGAAGTGGATCCATTATCAATGATAGATTGAGCAGCAAGACGAGATGAGTTAAAGGCTGAGAGAGAAGTTGTATCGGGGATCGTATACTAATACTACCTGACTTGCTGGGAAGGGTGGCCTGAAGCCAAGATGAATTAGAAAATATAAGGTTTAATATGTTTTCAAGAAAACCCTTAATTTGGGTTTCATGGGAAACGAGCAAGTCGCGGCATTTAAAGATCGGAGGAAATCTCAGGGCGTAAAACATTTTAGGTATATTGAAATAATTTTTTATTAAAAAAAAAGATTGATGTGCTGGGAGGTAATTAAATAATGTATTTAATTTGTATAAATTATTAAGAGATTTGTTTAAAAATGTTTCAATGGCTTTTCATCTCCTATAAGTGATCCAAGGTGTGTCATCTCGTCTCTGTTGATGACGTGATATGCCATGTCTGAAGGGATAGAAGTGGGATTTAGGAAGCAAATTTCACATTTGAGGAGGTTGAAAGATAGTCCTGTTATATGAGATAGATTCTCAATGATGAGGGGGATGGACGTGATTGTGGAGAGATGCCCGAGACAATGCCGTTATCAAGATACTAGGAATTTAAGGTAAGGTTAGATTTAGATTGAATTTCCTGGATTGTCTTGATCTTGTCAATCCCTTTGCAAAAGAGAGCTGGGCCTAAGGGGTCATATTGTTGAATTCCCTCTTGAGATTCGATTATGTAATTATTGAATTTTAAAAAAGTATGACTCGAATAGCTGTAGAGTATTCGGGATATTGGTTGCAAAATAGGGGAACGAAGTGTTGACGTTTTATTGTATTAAATGCATTATTGAAATCCAGCTTTAGGACCGCGTCATCTGGTATTCTGTTAGCTATAGTTAAACGAGCAAGGTGAGCGGAAATTTCAGAGCCTCTCCTGGAACACCAAACCCTAGTTGAAGTGGCAACAGGAATGAAGAAAGGGATTCCTTTGTTCGTGAAGCAATGATCTTAGAGACAGTCCATCGGAAAAACGACCCAACAGCAATTGGGCGAATACCTCCGTCCTTTTTTTTGAGGGCTATAAGGCGGGCCCCAAAGAGAATTGGAATTATAGGTGATGGAAGGGGTCCATTAATAATTATATTTAGTAACCTGGTAAGGTTCTGTAAAAGGGTTCTATATGAAATGTTTTAAAATGTCTTGGATGAAAATAGCACGAATGCCATCAAGACTTCCGGTATAGTATCTTTTGAAAGATCTAACAGCTTTGATTGTCTCATCAGTGTTGATTTTGGGAGCTGTATGGAAGTTTTTACTTGAGAAGGCAAATTCCGAATCACATATGGGCTGTTTTAAAATCAAAGCTTCTAAGGTGGACTCATTATTTGGGGCTAAGGAGTCTTCAGAGGTCATAACCCGGAGGGCTGACTTTATGTTAAGGCTGTTTATTTTGTTTGAGACTATTTTAGCTCTACAGGAAATGGGGAGAGGATTGGATTGGTAGGTTTGGGGAGTAGGGGTTTGTATGGGATTAGGGTTGAAGAGGGATATTGATGTTTTTATATGTTTGGATAATAAAATATTTTTATTATCGGGAATTTTAAGGGTGAAATTTAGTGTTTGCAACGGTCCGGTCCGGTCCGGTCTTTTTTTTCTAAA